ATTTCATCATTATTATTTTTTTTAGTTCATTTCAAGCATTTTAAACATACTAGAGGTAAGTGAGTCGGGTTGGAAAACTTGCATATAATTGTTATACGGGCCGGGCTAAATTTTCACAAAACTACTATTAGGGCAGTTAATAAAAAAAACTGTATTTACTCTTTTTTTGAAAAATAATTCCTTTAGGATTAAAAAATTTTTCATTCTCATTTATCCCCAGGAATAAAATTTGGAAAAAATAAGAATTCCAGCTAAGCTGGTGTTTATACGATTTACCAGATAAATGGTAACAATAAGAAATGCTTGTCCCTTATACAAGGATTTTATTTGGCGGAATAGTGTGTCGCATCTTTTGGATAATGCTAACCCGGGAAAGTTTTTAACTGAGCTCGGGTTGGGTTCGGTTCAAGGGAATATTATTGAACCCGAGGTTAGTTCCGGGTTCATCTAGGGTTTAGAATTATATAATAAATTCTATATTTAAATACTAATTAAAAAAACTAGACAAAAATAAAAAAATTTTTTATTTATAGGCAAAATATATTTAAAAAATTCAAAGTAAAGTCATGTATCAATTTTAAATATTTTATTTAGATGTATTAGCATAAATCTTCCAAGAGATGTTCGCTCATTCTCGATCTTTGCAGTTAAAAGAATGAATGAAAAAGATCTTTCAACGCTAATATTAAATATATTTAAATGAAAATATGAGAAATTAATTTGGGTTGCAAGAATAGGAAATAAGATTTTGGATAAAATATATTAATCAGAATGTTGCAGCTTAGCAGACTCCCAAAAATGCAAAATATTTTCCTTATTATCCAATCTTTTAAAATCGCTAAATTTAATAATTATCGTTCCAATCTATAAACTAACAAGATGCCTTTTCGCGCAAATCTATTCATCATCATTAATTAATATTTGTAATATTTAAGGATTTATACCGTTTATATTTAAATAAATTGAAAATATTAAAATATCTCAATAAATTTATTAACATTTGTTTTGTATTTACATAACAAATATATAAATATAAGATTTTAAACAATATTCATTGGGTTCGGTTCAGGGTTTGGGAAATTTTATAAACGGGGTTCAGATTAGGTTCGGGTTCAAAATTTTCTTCAAAAACCCAGATTTTCTTTTCCGGGTTCGGTTTTGGTTCAAATCTTAACATATTTTTTGTTCAAATAAAGATTAATTTAGAATAGGGTACAATTAAGATAGTTATTTGATAATTAAAACCTTAATTATTTTTCATTATTGATAAATTGCAACTTTTAAAAAAGTTACTTTTGAGGGCATAAATCATATATTGTGTTAAAAATTTTATATGTGATCCGATATTAAAAAAAATTATAGCTACAAATGCCTAATATAGTTTTACATATTTGATTTAAAATTAACCATTAGTGTTAGTATCCTATAAGAAAACCTTACGGGTCATAAGATCCATGGTCTCCCCTTGCAATGTTTTGCGTGTTGTTGATGAGATGAGAATTAAAAAATAATTAAATACGATGTTGAAACAGAATTTATAAAAATAAAATAAAATGTGAAAGAGTTTTTAATCATAAAATTTTTCTTTTTTTGCAATATTTGCAATTTAGTTTGGGATTTGTATTGTATTCATAACCTATGTCTTTCAGAAAAGTGGTATTTTCATTTTTAAAATACGTGAATTAAACAAATAAACCATGCGGTTGTTAATTGTTCATTTAGGTCTATTAATAAAATAAATTTAGTGTATGTAAAATCCAAATGGAAATAAAATGAATCATAAATTTCATTTATCAAATAGAAATACATAGCATGTCATAAAAAAAACCTGTCATGAATTGGGATGAAAACCCATAAATAATTGATATTAAATAGATCAAAAAATATCCATCTCAAGGCCACAACATAAAATGTATTTTTAATTTATCTATTATAATAAATAATGTAATTAAAATTTAGAGACAATTTATATTAATAAATAACATGATCATGATGGTCTTTCCTTGTTATATTAACTTTCATCATAATGTAAAATGACTCAAATCTTAAGGCCTTTGTGGCAATTGAAAACCTGATGGTTTCTTTTAAATTTGATGGCATATACAGATAGGGCTACTAGGACCCTGACACGTGCAACTAATTTTCTCATAACTCCCTTATCCTGTATTCATCGAAAATAATATAATCCATATGACAAGTCAGATAGTATTGGAAAAGTAAAATAACGGCACTACTTTTTAAACTAGTAAAGTATTGGTATTACTTTTTTAAAAAAAGTAAGGTTATAATTTTTTATAGAAGCGAAATATACTTTGTATTTTTTAAATAACTCTGCCAATTCTATATATACATGTATATATTGTTTTTAAAAATAAAAATAATATACAATTTTGAACTTTAATTTCATAAAAGTAAACTTTTATATAAAAGTTTGTCCAAATTTTGTCCACTTTTAATCTATATCAAATAATTAAATGAAATGAATCATAACCAATAAATTTTTGAAACTTAAAAAATCAGAAGCTTATTCCAAATCTAGTAGGAACCATTATAACGCCGCGATAAATAAATATATGAATATTATATTCGTTCTAAATTATAAACAGGATGAAAGAACTCCATGATAAATCAACAAAATAAACACTGTTTTTGGGATGATAATTAAAAATTTTTTTAAATATACTGTACACAGAGACTGAATATGGGCCCCTTCAAGTACAAATAAATGCAGAATTTTGGGAATTAAGTAATATTAGGATCCAGTCCTTTTAGTAAAAGATTTAAATAATTTATAATTACCAAATTATCTTAAACAATTTTTTTAAAGCATTGATGCTGTGTGGGGTTTAAGAATTTTAAGGATTTAAGAATCCACGAATTAAGGTGGTTAATAAAAAATTTTGGCAAAATATTGAGCCCTATTACTTATAAGTTTTCGAAGTTTAAATAAGAGACACCTTAATCATCTATGTAACATTTTTATTGATAACAATAATAATTAACAAACAATTCATGTTGTAAGCGAGTAACTAATGAAAGTCTCTCCACTAGATTTTCTTCAAAACAATATCCCAATTTCTAAATTCCTCTTGGAATCTCAGAAACCACCTTCTAAATGTGACTATTTTTTCCATGCCTGGATAACTAGTATTTTGGAATTTGCATAATTAGACATTTTTTATCTTTTCAGATTTACATATATATTCTCTCTTTACTTCGCATAACTGTAATTCAGCTTTACCAAATGCAAGTCTGTCATGAATAAGATGGCACGTTTCCATGGATGGCGAGCTGGCATTGAAGATATTGAAAATTATGTTATTTAATTTTGATAATGCATGTGAAATGGGCCAAATGAAATAGAATTTTCTTAAAATATTTTTAAGAATTAATTTTGGTAATTAATTAATAGTTATAATAAATGATCTTTTGGAAAAGATCAAATCCCAATGGATTTTGAATAAAAGGGTAATCGAGAATCTAGATATTTTAAAAGTGCTCACTTACATACAAAAGTTAGCCCGAGGTTATAAATTTATTTTCAAGACCTAAAGGAAATCTCTTATTATTTTTTTTTAGTTTGAATGTATTCTCAGAAATTTTTTTTTTGAGTTAAAGCATTATTTTTGGGGTATTTTCAATTATTCACATCTTTGTTTAAAGATCAAAACCTATTATATTTAATTCAATTATTTCAGCTTAATTTCAGTAATATATATAACACACGTGAAGCAGGTATATGAAAGCCACATCCAGTGACTTGGCAAGGGATCAAGCATTAGAGAATGAGAATTTAAAAAAATTAATCAATGTTTAATTGGAACTAAAAATTGGGAAAACATAAGATGTATACCTGTGGGTGGAAAAGAAAATGACTATAATAGTAGATAACTTAGTACGACCGAATGATTTTTACTGACTAGAGATATTCACCTATATTAACATCAGGGCCTGAGTCTAATGATTCAATGAGCTAATTTTATTTGCTAGACCTATACCTGTAAGCAGGGGTTCGAAGAAGAAAACCCGGGTTTTTGTGAAAAAATCTGAACCCGAACCGAACCTGAACCCCGTTTATAATACTTTAAAAACACCGAACCGAACTCGGGAATTTTATTTTAACCCGGCGGGTACAGTGTATTGTTTAAATTAATATAATTATAATATTTTCAAATTTCCAAGTGAAGTGTTAATAAATTTTAAACAACTTAATACATTTACTCAATTTTAAACAATTAAATTCATTTACGCCATTTATTTTTAATTTTTAACTTATTCTCAAAGATTAATTAATTAGAGAAAAATAAAAGTGAACAAGTCAAAGTAAAAATTATTAAATTGGATATTGTTAATTTAAAGAAATACGTCTAAATAAATTTTTTAAAATCTATACATGACTATGCTTTGTATTTTTAACTATATTTTGTCTATAAATAAAATAAAAAATTTATTTTTTATACCAAATTTATGTCTAGTTTTTTTAATTATGATTTAAATATAGAATTTTTTTTTTATCAATTCAAAAATTCTTTAACCCGAGCTTAACCATCAAACTAGGGTTCAAAGATATTTCCCTGAACCGAACCACCTATTTATTTTAACCGAACCCGAACCGAACCCGGGCAAAAATTTTGCAGGGTTCACGTCCCTGCCTGCAAGTATATACCTAAAATATCTAATGTTTTTAAGAATATAATTACAGTATATATCACTTTACAAAAGTAATAAATAAAAACACTTTTGGAACATCTATAATAAAATAATACCATCATAATACACAATATAATGATGATTTGTTAAAATTACTAGGATTTTATGTGCTCTGAATATTTAATATCATTAAAAGCATACTCTACACGAAAAATTAAACACCGAAATATAACGAAATACAAAAATATTAACATCTCATAAATATAAATTAACGTTGTATAAACTAATTAGCGATTAAATATTTGAATATTTATATTTTTTAAGTTAAAAAATATTTTAATATATGTTTATCATTTATTTTTGATGTATCTTACTCCCACTTTTATTCCATTTATAGGATAATTTATGCCATTTTTTTTAAATTTTGTGTTGTCAGGAGTTAAATCAGAATCAATGTCTCCAGGTGCCAAAAAAAATTGTATGTCGGACCCTAGTATTAAAGTTAGACCAATTCTGATTTCCATCATGGCAAAACGTAAGCCCACACACTGTCTCTGACCATAACCAAATGGCATAAAATTATACTGATGTTCCATAGCACTACAAAGGTTTGTTGAAATAAAAATTAAAAATAAATTTTACGAATTTTATTATATAATATATTTATCTCTAAAATACAATATATGGTGTAGGTAATTAATGTGAATGTCACTTCTAATAGAGTTTGTAGATTATTGTCATATTCATAATTATTTTTAAGTGATGATAAATATCACGCAAGCGATATACAAATAAAAAGCGCTACTTAAAATTTTGAGTATCACGTGATGAAATTTTAAAATTACTCAATTTTTAAAGAATTGTAATGGGGATAGAAGTACATGAATGGAAGGGGAGGGGGTGAGCTATTTGCCTACATATAATTTTAAGGGGGATTTATTGCCACTCATGTAGACGCTGGGGTAGGAAGCTAAATTGATACGTCTGAACTTTCATGTGTTTATTACCCGGGTTCGAATCTCGTTCAGACAATTTTTTTTTCTTTCCTATTCCATTTATTTTTCTTTCCTATTCCATTTATTTTTTATGAAAGCTAATAAGGGTAGGGATATAGCAGGAAGGTTTAATGTGGTGTTAATTATCTCATCCAAAAATGTAAAAAATATATACCATAACTCATAATATGATAACATGAAAAGATTTATTTATGCATAAAATTCACAAAAGATTTACTAATGGCAATGCCCTAAATATATAAAAGAACTAAGTTTTAAGAAATGCATAACCATCGTATATTTTGAGAAATATCAAGCATGTCCCGAATCTTCCATTAAATTTTCAAAGGTATTGTTAAATTCTCCATTTAAAATATTCAACCTTAAGTCGCTATTACACTATAGAAATCTGTACTGTTTGGCATTTTCCATGAGATTATCATTGCAATTTTTCTCGCAAAAATTCACATACTATAAAATTTTAATGATAAAAATGATTAAATTTTCACGATTCATAAAACTCTTAAGAATCACAATAAAACATTTAAAAATTAGAAAAAAATCATTTAGGCCAATATTTTAATTTTACATTAAAAATTGCTTATTTTTTTTTCGCGTTAAATTAAGAAATTTAATTTTTTATATTTAGGATATAGCCTATAAAAGATTTTTTATAAAAAGATTTGGTATTTTAAGGCAATAATAGATTTAAAACTGTATGAACATTCTCAAAAATAATCTTCATTTTAAAAACTCTTCATTGATCAAAAATTTTCCCGAAGATTTTTTATTTTGAAGAGCATTTCAAACTTTGTTTAAAAATATAAAAATTAATTTTTTAAATAAATAAAGAGTAATTAAAGCATTAAATAAAGTTTCAAAAAAATATGAATTTAAGATTACAGCTATTTAATAGTGCCATCAAACACATAGAGTGGAGAAGGCAAATAGGATTTTGATTAACTTCAAGTTTTAAAAATCCATACTATAAATAATTTCACTATTTGGGGGTTGGCTAATATTCGGAATAAGCTTGGAGAGTTTAAGTCAGCTGAACTAAATACCGCCAGATTATATTAGAAGAGTTAATTTGTGGTAGGAGGGAAATGAGGGAGATTTCTCTTTAACTTAGACGGAGATGATATTGAATAGAAATGAATGGAGAAGAAGATTATAGGTGTTTCATTTATGCCCATCCTATAAAAAGTATACTCAAATATTTAGTAATACATTTCATTGTTTAAAATTTATATTCTAGAACTCGCCATAGATTAATTCTCCAATAAAGACTACTTAACCCAGTTGGTTCTCTGATTCTAATAATATCTTCTTCTTCAGTATACATAAGACATTAATAAAAAATTTGGTGACTTTATCAAACTTACTATTGAAAAGGTGATTTAAAACTCCTTGAGGTGCCAAAGATGGTGTTTTATTTCATTCAAAATCACTTTTAAAAACAAGACTAATATGACATATCTAAGAAAGTTATTCATAAGGAAATATGGTAAGGCATTAAGTCTTCAGAATTGATCATGATAGAAGATGCTAAATGAAGATATGGGTCGGAGTTCTAAAACACCTCTTAACTTCTTTGGAATATGTTATTATAATTCTGTGAATATCGATGAGAGAAAAGAGTAGCGACTGGATAACGTAGTTTGGAAATGTGGCAGCCAATGTTTATACATATTTAAAAATTATATCGTTCATTCTAATATAAGTTTTAGGACCATATATTGTGTTGGTTGATTCACAGCTATGGCCTATGCATTGTAGATATTGTAGCTCTAAATTTTATAAGATATTTAGTTTGTTTGGGTTGACGGAGTTATCCTGTGTAAGAGGTTATATAATTATCATTTTAAAAATTGAAAAAATCATAAAACTTATGATTTGAAAATTGAAAATAATTACGATAGATAATCACAGACGTATAATAATATAGACAAAGAAAATAATTCCATATTATTCCCTTTTGCTGATTAATGTATAGAAAACACTTACCATAATATGTCTACAATGAACGAATGAAGGAGTCAAATCAATTTTCAATTAAGGTCAAGTCAATCTTTTGGAAACGCATTTTATATTAGACAAGGAATCCCCCCCCCACTCCATTATTATATTATGATACAGAATCAGGTTTTGGGGAATTTTATAAAATATAAAATACGCCTCGCCCAAAAAATTGACCCCGAAGATTTTAGCACTGACCAGGGCTCGAATTCGGTTCTTGGATCAACACAATCCTGCTTACTTAAATAACAATTTTATTTTATAACGAAGTATTAGTAGTGAATTGTTATCCATTCGTTCAACGATAAAGTTGTCTTGTAATAGAGAAAATAGTTTATAGTTTTTAATTACGAGGGCCAATTTAATTTTAATAGCTGGTGAATTATTTCCGTTAATATATATATTCAATTGGAAATAAAATATTATCAAAATATAAATTGTGAACAATACTTCAAATGTGATACCTTTTATCTTTGGCTTGTTTGCAGAATTGATTAATAAGTGACTTACAAAATGAAATTAATTTAAGCCAATTTTTTAAATATTATAATAGTTATCGTGGGAGTGAGATTTCCCAAATGCATTTTTTAAAGCATCCCCAATAATTTCCTAACGCTCTTCGATTTTTGATTTGTCATTTATATATATCCATATAATACTCATCTATGAACGACTTGTCATCTGAAAATCTTTGTAATTTGGATTTATCACAAAATTCGACAAATCTGTGGCCATTTTCCTTAATATGACTATATTAATTTCACGAAGTTATAGAAAGAGTTCCATCTTGTTATAACCAGTTTAATCAGATAACAAATTTTTTTCATAAAAATGGCTGCATAGTTTGGAGAATTCCCTTCCACAATTGAAGTTAAAATATTTGAGTTGGGACACAATTTACTCTTACAAAGTGTAAACTTTGAACCCTTAGTTTCCTTCATTGGCTTAAAAATGTTTTATATTAGCCAAGGCAGGCCTTACTCATCTTCTTCTGAAGAAAATGTACAATTGACGTAATATTCTATATAAAATAAAATAAAATATAATATTAATAAGAATATAAATTTACATACATTGATTGATTCAATATAAATTAGATTAATAACCTTGACTAAAAATTTAACAACAAAAATTTTAAATGAAAATAGGAATTTGGTAGTTGATTTGAATTAAAAACTCGGCTATAAGTAATTTTATAATACAATAAAATATGTTTTTTTCATATTTTTAAATAAAAATTTCAAGTAGCGAGTAACGTTTTTACGATATCATTACTCAAAAAAAACGCGTTACCATTACGTTACCTCTAGAGTAACGAATGACGTTCCTTTTCTTGACACCGTTAGTAACGACGTTATATTTTAACGTTACTTCTTTGACATTAATTTACAGCACTAATAATAAGTAAATTTTTCAAATTTATATTGATTAATTTTCTTTAAAAAATGTATAAAATTTAATTTTATTTAAAAAAAAATTTGATATAACTGATGAAATTGTTATTGCATCTTGTTTAGAAGGAATTGTTTTTAATTTATTTGCAAATCAAAAAAAAATTGGAGAAATTAATAAAAAAAACGCCATATTAATAAGCATGTACAAAGGAAAAAGTATCATAACTTCAAAATGTCATCATTTGTTAAAAATTTAATTCATCAGTCCCCGTACAAATGATTTTATTTTAAGCTTTATAGAATGGAAAGTATTTATATCTTATTTTCATGACTTACGTATCATCTATGTCAAATCTTTTCGGATCAAATTCATTAGGTGATGCCCAAATATTTTCATCTCGGTGCAAGGCATAGACAGGTACGACAATGACAGTGCCTTTTTTAATTAATGTGTCTCCCAAATAATAGTCCTCCTCTGCCATTCTATCAAAAAATGTGATTGGGGGGTGTAATCTCATAACCTCTTTAATAACTTGATCCATATATTTTAAATTTGTGACATCCTCGTAGTCTATTATGTCAGAAATAGAGGTTGAATCTATATAAAAATATGAGATATACTTGTTTTTAGAGTTTTATTTACAAAATATAAAACAAATAAATCAGAAAATATGCAATTTGATTTTTCTACAAGTTTATTAATTGACATAATACAAACAATGAAAATCTCAAAGCCAAAACCCAACCTAAAGCTAAATCTATGGTATTAATTATAATTCAAAAGTTTTATTAGCAATTTTTTTTATTAGTTAAATAAAAAATCATAATTTCCTATGATAAATAAATATTTCGAATATATTACCTGAATTTAGAAGTTTACGTTTTTGACTAATTTTTTGCTTAATTTCCTGCCTCAGTGTCTCTTGAACTTCAGGTTTCCAGGCTAAAGTGCGAGCTACCCAACCTAAAGCATTTGCAGTTGACTCATAGCCGGCTATGAAAAAAAATAACGCGTTAGCAATATACTGTTCTTTAGACAATCCAGAGGTTGATGCAGTTTCTTTATCAATTCCTTCCTTAATTTCCGTGCCACCATCTTCCTGTGAGGTTATGCCATCAGAAATTTTATTAGTGTTTAAATCTTTGGACCCATTATTATCATAGATACAACTATTTGCTTTTTGCGACTCATTTGAATTAGAGTGACTTAAATTATATGCTTTGTTGGAGTCGACGAGTAATTGCAGAAAATCGTTTCTACAATCATATATGATTAAAAATTGTAAAAAATGATTATAATTATTTTTCAGATTAATTTTTTTTAGTAAATTGTTTTCTGGGAATGAGATCGGTAATGGGATAAATGTATATATAATATTTTATAAACTATATAATAATATTTATAATCAGTCTTTTGCTATTTAATGGTATAAATCAAATAATAAAAAAAATATAAATAATATATTTCGCTATTGGATCTTTACAAATGTACTATAATTAATTTCCATTCTTTTTAAAAATAATTTTACCTAACTATATTAAACTTTTGCCGCTTTTGAATGGTATCTTCAACGATACCTGAAAAAAAATTGGCTGTCGAATCTTCAATAATTGATAGCTTAAAGTAATTCACCAAAGGAATTATCACGGGAAAAATTTCTATTAAGGCAAATATCGGCCTCGTCACGTTGAATTCAAACACCTTTCTCGCATTTCTGAATATTGCAAAAAAAAATTTATTTCTAATAAAAATGACAAATATATGATCGATCGTTATTGTTAGATGAAATATATTATAGTATGTATCTTTTAGATAAACGATATCAAAATAATTTATCAGTTTTTAATTATAAATTTTCTACGCAACTTTTCGGTAGACATAAGTCAGATTTTATTTTTAAGATACTACTGATAGTATATTAAGCTATTTATTTAAAAAATATAATATAGATACCTTACCACTATATCTGACCAACCTTTTAACAAGGTTATCCTTAAAAAAAGAGGAATTAGTAATTGTAGGTTGGGTGATAAAAATCAATTTAATTACCTCGATTTCTTTAAAAAAAATTAGTGATTAAAATTAATATATTCTCTAAACTATCTTCCATATAATTAGTAATGGGAAAAATTTATACGCATTTTTTTAATTAGAATTCTATGTTTTTTTTAAATTAAAATTTGATGTTTTTTTTATTAAATTGAAATGTTTTTAATTTAAACGCTATGTTTTTTATATTTTCGCTAAGTTTTTTAAAATTTTTGCTTAAGGTCCAGTGTAATTATTTAAAATTAGTATTACTCAACCTTTTAAATGAAAATATCAAAAACTGCTTCAACTATGAGTCAAGATTTACTTGACAAGGCTTCCAAAGTTTATTTATAGATGGCAAAAAGTTTTTCCAGAATGAAATGAATACTTATCTTTAAATAATAAATGTTTTAAGAGATATAGGCATAACACACCATTTGTAGGGTTGGGTGATAAAAATCAATTTAATTACCTCGAGTTCTTTAAAAAAAATTAGTGATTTAAATTAATATATTTTTTAAACTATCTTATTTATTAAAATTGATCAAAATACCTAAATAATGAAGGAAAAAGATTTAGATTAGTTCAAAATTTGAATTTTTTAATTCAAAAATACTAAACTATACTTAATTTATTTTAATATTCATTATATTTCAATTTTTGACCCTAATAATTTAATTATTATTTCTAATCTCAATGTAGTGAGAAATCATTTAATATTCTAAATTTAAAATATATAACCTAAACATTTTTCTTTTAAATTTTTTATTATAATTGCTATTCTATACAATAAAAATATAATTAGTTTTTGTTAAAATAAAAAATAATATTTCAATAACAGAAAAAGATTAAAACAACAAGCTTGAATTAATTGGTCACCGTTCAATTATTTACTTTATTATTAATTGATCTGAAAGCATAATTTTCTCCCAAAGGTTATGTCAATGGGTCAGTTTAATGAAATTGCAACATAAAATTAAAGTTAGTTAAAATATATAAAATAGACTAGATAATTATAAAATAAAAATATTAGCACTTATCAATTTTAAACATAGCAAATAATTATTTTTATTTGAGTTAAAAAAAAACATTGCAAAAATTTTATATAGCTTTCATATCAAATCATACCCATTGGTAATTATTATGGATTATAATTGAAATTACATTTGTAATTCCCCTTCTTAAATTTAATTACTTTTTATATGAAAAACCTTAATAATTACAATCGTTCATTCACATTTTAATTTTTGGAGATTGCCGATAATTGCTCTCCTAATACAATATGGCATTCACTTAAATATATATATCTTCCGATTATAATATTAAAATTTTATCCGTCCAATCCGATCGGAGATTTATTTTTTCATTCTAAGTTCGTTAGAGCCTACTTATTTTAGAAATATACCCAGTTCCGATCCTTCAACTAAATCGGAAAAAATTATAAGAGAGTAGTTCAAACTCACCCCTCTTCAATTTACAATTCGAAATTAGCTGTTCTTGAATAGCGATTTTTAGATTTAAAAAATAGGAATAAGTACATCATCGCATATTTGAGATATCCTCCATCACCTTATGTCAAGATCTATAATTTAAATTTTAAAAACAAATCCAAAAAATAGTGTCAACACTTCTTTTCTGAAGAGGATTCAGAATTAAAAACAAAAATTAAGTCGATTCAGAAAAAATGTCTTCCGAGATCCGAGGGAAGACTTGAATTGATCCATGCACAGGGTTCCAAAACTTATGTGCAAAATTTAAGTCAAAATAAGATAAAATAAAATGTTTAATATTAAACAAAAAACTAATTATTATATAAAAAAAATGCAAATTTAAAAAAAAAATCCTTGAATAAACATTAAGACAAAGAAAATTAAAAAAATAATTATCAAGGAAAATGATTTATCATAAAAAAAAGAATATGAATGAACATCATTTTTTTTTGAAAAATTGATTTATTTATTTAAAGTATTGGAAAAAGAAATATTCCCACTTATATTGGCATTATTTAAAAATGATTTAAAATAAAGTTTATTTTCGTTCGATGTTTTTTTATGTGTTATCTGCAACTCAAGAGATCAATTTTTTAGATCAAATCCGAGCCACAGTAAGAAAAGCGTTCTCCATAACCAAAATATTAAACGAAATATATATATTTTTTTATACTTGTTTACCCTAAAATTTATTTATTTTTCGGTATATTTTGTTATAAGAAATAGTTTAAAATGTATATTAAAAAAATAAATTTAATCAAATCACTTATTTATTGATATCACTGAGACTTAAAATATTAAACTTTATCAGGACCTGATCCAACCCATGGGTCGTTGAGTCGAAGTTTAAATTTTTAAAAAAAACCTGACAAAGTCGTGATTGATTTCTTTGTGCGAATCCAACTCTAATCCAAAAGCGGTTGAAGCGATTGTGTCCATCGTGTAACATCCAAAAATGTCTTTAGTATTGACAACTGCTATGCTACCCTCTTTATAATCGTCGCCCTCGTCACTACGCTTAGCAATGGTACTTGGATCGTTACTCAAGGAGTCCTTTAAATATCCGACCATTTTAGAAGCGCATTTAATAACGAGAGGAAACATATCGGTTTTCATTTTGTGAGAAGTAAAAGTAGGTAATATGAGCTTCCGGGTCACACGCCATTGTTCGTCTCTAGTCACAAAAACTGACTTGCCAAAATATTTATTAAAAAGTGGGAACATTCTTCGATTATGGAAATTAGAGAAACTTTTAACCAGAATTTCCTTGAGGTAAATAGGGTCGCTTACCATATAAATCAAGTCGTGTCCTCGAGTTGCAGCGTAAAATTGCCCATATTTACGATTCCATTCTATGTAGCATTTTTGAAAGCCATTTATATATATCCATAACATGGTACCAAAGAATGGTATAGGAATAGGATGCTTACAACCGCATTGCCATAATTTTACCACGGGAATTAAGCCGTAAGTAATAAGCCATACCACTATAAAGGTGAAAAGGATTTGAAACATATGATAGAAAGATTTTGGGGTATATAATAAATAATAAAAAAATTAAAATAATTTTAAACACTTTTTGATTTTATATATAAATAGTAAATAGAGCCAAATAATAAATAATATAACAACAAGTGCCAAATAATAAATATTTAAAAATTCAGTTTGTTACCCAAACTAAATAATTAATTTTATCATTGCATTCCAAATGTTATGTCACTCAAAAAAAAGGGTTAGATATATGCTTCAGGTCTAATTTAATAAATAAATCGGTGTAGCGTTAAAGGTTTGAAATTCAGCTGTATAAAGGAAGAGACAGAAATTTAAATATTGTAATATTTTTGATTTTAAAATATCAGATATATGCTTTTTTATATGATATTGTAAAAATTATATATGATAATTGCATAATAATCAACCCGTCATTTTTGGGAGTTAATTTTTCGATAAATCCAAATTTGTAGATTCTATTCATTCTTATTTAAGAAAGTTTGAAGATTGGACGACCAGAAGAAGAATCGAGATCACCTCCTGATTGACATTTTGTGCACGAAAAAGATAATGTAATGTATAATGGATGGGCGAATAAGATGTAGGAATATATATATCAGTTATGATGATCGAAAAAATAAAAAATATATAAATTTCAATTTATAAAAAATTGATTTTAAAAATTTTAAATCAACAATCTTTATTTTAACCAGAGACCTGCATTCCTGCCAAGGTATACGGGGCCGAGCCATATTTTAATTTTTATAAATATACCCGAGCCGGACCGGGCCTGAAATTTTTTTTTTAATATACCCTTGGCCGGGCCTGAAAATTTTTTCTAAAAAAATATCCGGGCCGAACCGTATATTTTAAACCAAATATTTGAAATCGCCATTATAGCTATAAAAATCAAAAATAAATATAATGTATTTTAAAAAAAATCTGGACCGGTGTAGGATTGTGAAATCAATACCCATTGTAGTTTCATACCGTTTTGATATTATCATTGTAGATTCAATACCGTAGTGATATTTTGGTATTGTAGAATCAATACCGTATTGATTTTTAAGATATTTTTTCATCGTTTCAAATATATTGGGGGCCATTAAAATTTTAAAATATTTATTATTATATATTTATTCATCGCTTCAAAAATATTGGCGGCCATTTTCGATTTGTAAAAATTTATTTAAAATGATTATATAAATGATTTTCTATTCTTTTATATAATATTTTAAGGGAGTTTATTTATTTTACAATTCTTAATATCCTATATAAATTTTATTTGTTTAATATATACAGGTTTATTTCATACATCATATTATTGAAATCTCAAGCCTTAAAATTTTAATAGACAAAAGTAAACTAATCACAAACAAATAAGGGTTTCTATTACATCAAAGGATCTCAATCACTCACTCTGATTAATCATTTCCTCTTGGCCTCTTAAAATCGTCATTTTATTTATTAGATGTATATATAATTATATTTTTAGCTGATTAAAGTTTAACACTTATATTTATGGAATACAAAATTTTTTATACAGATATAATTAAGTTTAAAATCAAATCTTAATGTTTAAATTATTCTTTTAAACTGAAACAACTATTTTTGTTTGAATATATATATTTTATTGCAATAATATTAAAACTGGCTGATTTCTTAATACTATTTAAATAAAAAGGATATACATAATTTTATTTCAAAAAACAAGAAAAATAATATAAAAAGAAAATATATCCCAAAAAAGGAAACATAATTATCACAAAAAATTGAGTGTATATTACACTATAATACGATTAAAATGATCTGAAGATGCATTTATCAAATATATATTTAAATTAAAATTTTTTATACAGTCCATTTTTGATAATGCAGAATATGTAATATATTTCATTTGATTTTTACAATAAATAATAATTGGCGTCTGAAAAAACGTAGCAGATGCTGCTACGATATCTAATTCATACGCCCACGTTCCAATTTGATGTTTTTTTTGTATCAACCAAATGTTTTATTATGTCCTTCCCCATAAAATCTGTAAAAATATAATTATTTTCCAACAGCATCATATAAGAGATTATAGATCCCCTTATAATTGTAGGTGATCCTCGCTGCCTATGATCTCTTTGCTTAAGCAGCGATAATAACAATTTCCGTCACCAAGAACAGCCTCAAATTTAGGTGGATAACTTAAATTCTTAATTCGATGGCTTTTTATTCTTGATGACGAATGCCTAGCCTCTGAGCATGATATTTCTTCCATGCATTATTCGTAGCAAGGTAAGGTAACAAGGAAATATCCGGCTCTTCATATAATATTATTTTATCGGTATTTTCTTTTTCCTCTTCCCCGTTATTATATTTTTGGAAGTAGGGCTTGAGGTTACACCCGTTATACTTTCTTTTTAATAGAGTATTATCTTTATTACTCACACTATATAGATCGTTCTCATATACCTTATCGATTATGTATAGACCAAGCCAGGGATCGGACATTTTTCCACCCTTTCTATCCGCACGTCGTGAGTTCCAGATCAGGACCTGTTGCCCGACTTCATAAGGGATTTTATCCTTTAACCTTTTTTGATAATCCCTTTTTTGTCTATCTTGGGCAACAAGTATATTTTCTTTTGCCCTTTTCCATACGACTGATAGGCTCATTATTCTTTCTAATAATTTAATCTCTTCAAAGTCATTCTCAATATTATTATTGATTTCCCAATATCTGGCTCAATTTTCGAATTTAAGTCTGATGGCAGCTTTGCGTTCCGACCATACATCATATAAAATGTGGTGTATCCTATAGATTTGTGGACACTGGTTCGCATTGCAAACAGTACCCCCGAACAGCGTCTACATGACAGGATTTTCACTGGATGCAAACCCCCTTCAAAAACCTTTGCCCATCACCCTAAAAAAATTCCACTCCCTTCGGCGGCGATATTTTCCCATTATTGTTTTCACCTTTTTAATTATAATGATACTCTTTTCAAAGAATGGATAACTTAAATTAATTTATCTCTACTACCAATACCAACTATCGATATTTTGTGAATATAAAGGATTTATTTTCTAGATAATAAATTCAATTAAATCCTCCATTATTTAAAACGAATTCATTATTATAACTTTATGAGCTTGCTGATATATCTAAACCTTTTAAATGTAATTTAAAAGGATAGCAGAAAGTTTTATTTGGAAAACAATATGTATGATTGTTTGCAATATATAGATTTGGTGGATGAATTGTATTATAATAGTTTTATAATAAAAGTATTAATATTTACAGCAATAATTTTGTCCTATTTCATCTCAAAATTCAATAAATAACCCCCCCCCCCCAAGAAATTTTTTTTATCCTACCCCCATTAAAGCCGCTTAACCCCCACAAAAATATAGGATGCAAACTGTTCTTACCCCTCCCGCTCATGTAGACGCTGCCCCCGAAAGAACCCTAGGCCATAGTGTGATCATCACTCAAAACCTTTATAAGTTTTGAATATTACGATTATTCCTTTCTGTTAAACCATTATCTTGAGGATGATATGCACTGCAAATATGTTGCTCCGTCCCTGTCATTTTATGTAGTCTCATGGCCACACAAACTCTCGGCCTTGATCATTGATTTGTATCTATATTGTATAAAATCAAAAGTTTATAAATTATCATAAATGCACATTTTCACCGATATATATTTATATAATTTGATTTACAGTTGTGCGGCCATGGCGGCAAATCAAACCATAGATAAATTTACAAGTCTCTTCTGCTGTCTTTGATTTCATAGGTTCTGCCTCAACCCATTTTGTGAAATAATCAGAGGCAACTACAATACATGTGTAGCCTTCTTCTGAAGTGGGCAGGCTGCAAAGATTAATTCCTATTTGAGCCCATGGAAGAGGTGGTACATCTATTGGATTCAAAGTAGAAGAAATTTTGGAAAATCTTGTATTTGCCTTCTGACATCTATCACATGATTTTATAAAATCAATAGTGTCTTGAAATAATTTTGGCCACCAATATCTATAAACACAAAATTAACAAATTAACACCATAATAAATACCTTTCAGAGAGTTTAAGTTGAGTTTTATTAATGCCTAGGTGGGCACCAATAGCTTTAGATTCTAGGGATATATCTGATCCTTGGTGAATAACAGATATTACCCTTTGTTTCTCTGCTTCATCCATTAATACTAAAGCTAATCAATAAATAGAAATTATTATTTTGTGATCACATTTACCTTCTTTATTCTTTATTTTTCTATAAAGAATTTCTTCTTTAACAATAAAATTGTTTGCCATATATGATATTTTAAAGCAGTATAATATTCCCTGTTATAAGTATTAGCAATAAAGGATATTTTAGATATTTATTTGTTCCTACTTGATAAAAAATTATAATTATAAATTTAAATGTATCAATTTGATAATAAAAAAATTGTGATATTTTAAAGCAGTAAAGGAAGGATATTTTCTGTCACTAAGTATTGGCAGCAAATGATATTTTTCTGTTACTTATATTCTCTTATTGTTTGATATTTAATTGTTATTGCTTGGTATAAATATAATTATAAATTAAATGTACCAATTTGATTCATTAAAAATTGATATTTTAAAGCAAGTATTGGCAACAATTGATATAAATATAATTATAAATTTAAATGTACCAATTTGATTCATTAAAAATTTTGTGATATTTTAAAGCAATAAAGAAGAATATTTTCCTGTTATAAGTATTAGCAATAAAGAATATTTTTAATATTTATCTGTACTTGCTTGATATAAAATTATAATTATATAAAAAACTTGTGATATTTTAAAGCAGTAATAGAAGGATATTTTCTGTCACTAAGTATTGGCAGCAAATGATATTTTTCTGTTACTTATATTCTCCTATTTTGATATTTAATTGTTATTGCTTGATATAAATATAATTATAAATTTAAGCACCGATTTCATTCATAAATTTTAGGTTTTATTCTTAAAAGTTGAGGTTCGGTCATAAATTATCAATACGGTATTGATTTTACAATATTGTAGAATCAATACCGTATTGAATTTAAATGGTATTGTTTTCAATACTACACCGGGCCTAAAATATTTTTAAAAAAAATATCCGGGCCGGGCCGAACCGTCTATTTTAAACCAAATATTTGAAATTGCCATTACTAGCTATGAAAATCAAAAATAAATATTATATATATTTTAAAAAAAATCTTGGCCGGGCCTAAAATTTTTTTAAAAAAAAAGCCGGGCCGGGCAGGTCCTGAAAATATAAAACCCGGGCTGGGCAGAAAAAAAATTTTTGAAAAAAAAATCTGGGCCGAGCCTGCCGTGCAAATAGTACCTCTGCAGGTCTCTGATTTTAATAAAATTTAATTTCCCTCATTTAGAAATATAAAAGATATATAATATTTATTAACTCATAATATAATTATATCTTTACAAATGTCCAATATATTATATTTTTTTCTTATAAATGATTTTAATAAAAGTTCCATTTTGGCCTAAACCTATCCATATAAGATAAATGGTGTGAGTATGCTAATCGCTCCGATGTGTTTATTAAATTACAACTAATTTTTAAAAGAATTTATTAAAAAATTAATATCAGAGATTATAATAAAAGTTTTAAACCGGAGCTTTGAACCGTTAAGTATAACGGCTCGTTTTATAGTTTAGATTTTTTAAAGCTTTGTCCCATTTCAGGTTTTTTTTAGAAGAATTAATATCAGTCGAGAATTAACGGTTCTTTTCAGTTCGTTCCTGTTTTTAAAAATTTGATATTTAATCATAAACCATAATGTATTAATCTTAAAGAAAAATATTTTTAACTTATATTTTTATAATTCATTATTTAATGTAACTTTGAACATTATTTCAATAATCTCCATTAAATTGAATATTAAAGTAAAAACAATAAACTTGGATTGATTGATAAGAAGATAATGGCTCTTTAATTGTAAAAATTTTAATTTGAAAAGAAATCACGGATTTAAACTGCCTTTATAACCGTTTGGTTCGCTCTTTTTATATTTTTTATAACGGTTTGGTTACGGATAAATTTCAGAAAATCATAACGGTTTGTTCCGGTTTCGCGGTTCGGTCCTAAGCCCTGCTTTTAACATAAAAAAATAAGTTAGATAGTGAAAATCATTAAAAAAATATATATAATAACCTACAATTTCAATTTCAGAATTATTAGTGTAAAGATACACCTTACTCTCAACCCTTCCCTTTAGCTTAATCTACACTTAAATTGAGTCACAAATATCCAAAAGTCCTTTCAAATTCTTTATTCACAATTTACCCAATCGAAAATATAATATAAAAATATGTAAACAAATAACCAATAACTATCCCATTTCATTGCAAATACTTCTAGATCAGTCCAAGTCATCCAGTATATTTAGTGCAGGCTTCATCTCTTTGTTCTCCCCCAACTGGCATCCCGTGATCTCCTCCACTCTCTCCCCTTCCCCAAAGAAAATTAAATCTCCTGTCAGAAAATAACTGACATTTAGTATATTATATTAAATTTATTTCTTCTTTTTTTTTCAACGGCTACAACAATTAGTTCAAAGGTAAATATAGTTGTTATATGGGTCTATATGAACCGATTTTAAAAAACGGCTAACTTAATATTTTAGCTAGTAGGATTCGCTTAAAGATCCAGATTCTTCTAATTTATGTCCAAATCTTACGGCCATTCAAAATCTTGCGTAAATTTTTCTGGATAAAATATTGATTAGCAGTTTTTAAAAATCGACCCATATCTAGCCGTTTAACAACACTTATTAAAGCCATCTATTTTATTTAAAAATTTGTAAAGAACATTTCGAAAGTAGTCGCTATTGAATTTAAAAACACTATTTATAAAAATAAACATTAATTTAAATTTTAAATAAAATGGATCTCGTTAAAAATTAAACTAATAATACAATATTAATTTGTATACTAAGTTTTATATTTATAATGTATAATAAAGTTTTTATATTAATATTTACCTTTTAAATATATTTATTAAACTCGTTATATCTTACATATTTTAAATTAAGTATTAGAAAAATTGGAATTTTTTTAAGCATGATAAATAAAGGAGTAAATCAAAGAAACGTGAAATTAAATCTATAAGGTATAATTACAAAAAAAATGTATTTTAAAGATCATTATCTATCTCTTTATTATATAGCTGCATATATACAATATTATATAAATAATAATATATCATATCATATAAATCTTTTAGGCAATATAATAAAATATTTATTATATATAATTATAAACTTTAAGTTTATACTAGCTCTACGATTAATGTAAGATATTTACAATAATAAAAGAATATTATACGAAATAAAAGTAATTTAAAAAACTAAAATAGGTAAATATATAAACTACGGCTATGTTGTAATAATTTACAAAATAATCATCAAGCTAATTAGTAAAAATGATACTATAACTCGTTTTCGAATGTTAACATATTTATTATCTTAAATGTTATGTAAAAATATATATATATATTTTGATTAGAAAAAAGATAAAAATTATGAATAATTTTCTTCTATGTATCTCACCCCCACTTTAATTCCATTTTCAGGAAAGTTCGTACCATTTTTTTTAAATTTCGTATTATCAGGAGTTAAATCGGAATTAATGTCTCCAGGTGCGATAACGAATTGTATGTTTGACCCTAGAATTAAAGTTAGTCCAATTTTAATCTCCAGCATTGCAAAACGTAAACCTACACAATTTCTAGGACCGAAACCAAAAGGCATATAACTATATTGATGTTCCATAGTTCTATAGATAAAAAAAAGTGCGTATATATAATTATATTTTAATTTGTTTTGAATATATTTTCTTCAAAATATTTGTCAATAATTCATAAAGATGGTGTCCTTTAGACCCCTCAACCCAATGACGTTGATACTGCTTGGTGACTAAAATATAAATAATTCAATTATATGGATACAGACTTTAGGCTAACTAAGATGGTTATCCTCTAATTTTCACGAAACAATCTATTTGTATCCACCCTCCTGTACTATAGAATCCTACAGAGTCCGCTTATGATTGTTATATATCTTTAACAGTATTGTTATATAACTCCTTTGAACATATATATTACTTATTAAATAACTGCTTAATTTTATTAAAATTTAATATAAATAGCTTTTTTTAAATATAAAATAAACTAACCCTTGCCTATGTCTCTCTAATCTTTAATCCTACCTTCTTTCCCAAATAATCTGCATAAGAAGTTTGGTTTCATAAAAAATACCATTTATGAATTTTTTTCTGCGGGGTGGTGTATTTAACATAATAAATCTCAAAAAAACAGGGTTAACACAGTGTTGTTAAAATAGCGCCCTACTTTTTTCAGTAGCGGTAGCTTTAGCTGGCTACTTTTTTTAGAAAATAGCGATAGCTCGCTACTAATTTAGAAAGTAGCTACTTTCAATTTTACATAATAAATTACATCTAAAAATTATTAAAATATATATTTTATTAAATCGAAAATTATAATCTTTTTATTTAATTTAATATTGAAATTAATATTTAAAAATATACATTATAAATCTAGTTAGCATTATAAATCTAGTTATTAAAAATGTGTGAGATTATTGAAGATAGCGAAATTTCTTTGAAAAATGAGAAAAATATAGATTATCCTTTCCCAAAATTCAAAAAATACTTTAATCTTGAAGAAAACATTACTACTGGATATCGGTTTCGATGCAAGAAAATTTTGCCAACCACTGGTAGAGTCTATGCTAAAAGGCATTGAGAAAAGGTCAAACCTTATTTTTATTTTCTATTATACCATTATATAAAATGAATGATTTATTGCTTGATTAGCCATAATTTAAATTGCAAACAATCTATAATATTAATATATAGTATTAATATAAAATTCAAAATTAATATATTATTAATTACCTTGTGTATAATAATTATATTTTTAAAATCTTTATTTACCATAATTTAATGCTATTTTAATATTTTTTTATAAATGAATCTAAATCTCAGATAAATTTAAATTTTGAAAATTAAAAAGGTATTCTTCTAATTTTATAATTAATACAATCGCTTTATATAAATTAGATTTCCAGATCTGTATGATGATGATAATGTAATAGCTGCTATCGTTCATCCTAGTTTCAAGTTAAATTGGCCATACATTAATTTGACTGAATCTAAAGGGCAACTTGATAGGCTGATGGTAACGTTAAAAAATGCCATGCCTAACCACGATATTAATACTATAGCAAGATCGAAACCGCGGCCTTCCATAGACGATTTTTTTAAAATAAATAATAATAATAATAAATTGAACCCCTAGATGTATTTTTAAATCTAAAAATACTCATTTAAATATCTTTGATGATTCTTTTCATATAAAAAGTGAGTTTATTAAATTTAATACTGCGTTGCCCTCAAGTGCTAGTGCAGAACGATTATTTAGTATGGCAAAGCTTATACATTCTGATCGTCGCTCTAGACTTGGGGATGACAGTACCAAATGTTATTATTATTAAGTGCAATATTAAATAAATTATATATACATGTAACAAATTATAGTCATGTTTTTATACCAATATTGTATTTGTGGAAATAAAGTTATGTAAAAAATACTTTTAAAAAAAATCAAAATAGCGTAAAAAGTAGATAATAGCGCGCGATGCATTTGAAAACGATAGCGGTAGCAATAGCGCGCTACTTTTAAAAGTAGCGTTTAACAACACTGGTTTAACATCTACTCAGAATTTAAAAATCTACAATAAACTATAAAGTACCCAGTCCTTAAAATTAACTTTATATTAACAATCTAGACTCTAATAGACCACATACTATAGCCAGTCTCAACCCCAGTACTATAATCAAATAAATTATTAAAATCACGTTCTTTTCATACTTCCTTACCGTATAATACCATATTGCTATAACTGTAGAATGATAGGTCATATTCAAAGAGTCCACAACTATATAATATTGTTATAGTATTATCGATTACCAATAATAACTCCACTCATGATAATTTACAGATTTAAAATAATATTCTTAAATAATTCAAAATAAAGTTTTAGGCGAGGCGAAGGGCGAGGGGAAATTTTCTCCCTTCGGAAATTTGCCCGATCTCGTAAATATCTTTTTAAGATAATAAAAAATTAATTTCCCCCTCCCTCCCCAAAATTACCTACTCCTCAAAAATGCATACAATATATCATTGTAAACAAGAATCATTACTAAAAGCTAATCATTTAATAACGACTTCAAAATTTTTAGAGAAAAGTCCAAAATTATTTTATATATTCTAATATAACCAAAGGCCTTCAATAAATAGATCAAGATCTCAATTAAAATTTAGGGAAAGGGGCTTGGCTGAAAGTGCCTCCCTTTGGCAGAATCCTACGCCTATGGGACTACCAGTCAAGTTCTGTAAACCAAAAACCATACGACAGACACAAATAAACAACTCTAGCTGTTATGAACTCTTCTGGACCCACAGTCTATATACATGCATCATGTCTGATTGAACTCAATCTTTTCCATAGATTCTATACAGGTCTACGGTCGGTTTAAGCAATCTGCAACAATAATTATTTAAAATAAGAGGTCAGTTACTATTATATTTTTAATATATTATATACTTAAAAATTATATAATTTTAAAAGATAGATTAAGCAAAAACTTACAAGTTTTTTGGATCAAATCTATCCGGATCAAATTCGTTAGGCGATGACCAGATATTTTCATCCCGGTGCAATGCATAAATAGGCACTTCAATAACAGTACCCTTTTTGATTAATTTGTCTTCTAAATAAAAATCTTCAGAGGCCATTCTATCAAAAAATATATTCGGAGGATGTAACCTCATAACTTCTTTAATGACTTGATCCAAATACTTTAGGCTCATTATATCATCATAGTTTAATAGATGAGGTCTAAAGTGTGTATCTATTTTAAGGCATTTAATATGTTATGGTATATAAAAAAATAAATGGATTGCAAAGAAATTGATTTTATTTAACATTCCTAATCATAAAGTATATCAATCAATTATGTAGTTAGATAAACAATTAAAAAGCTCCGAAATAAACAATTAAATCTTTCATTTTCCTACCACTCAACAAACTTCAAAAGTATCATAAAGATGATAAATTTAATTTAAATATAATTATAATGGTAAAATTTAAATCTATTTTGCTAACACAATAAAATAAATATATATTATAATATATATATCCCAAATAAAATAAAATTACATTTTAGACTAATCTTTTGTTTTATTTCATTCCTTAGAGTCTCTTGAATTTCAGGATAACATGCCAAAGTGCGAGCTGTCCAACTTAGAGCATTTGCAGTTGACTCATATCCAGCTATGAAAAACAGTAATGCGTTAGAAATGTATTGCTCTTTAGACATTCCAGCGGTTAATATATTTTGATTTTCAGCAGTTTTGGTTTCAATGCTGTCCTCTTCATTCATGGTCATCATATCATCAGAAATTTTATGAATATCTTTTTTACTTCCATTAATGTTACTGATACGAGCATTTTCTTTAAGCGATATATTTGAATTCGATTGATTTGAATTATAAATATCGTGTGAGTCCAGGAGCAATTGTAAGTAATCATTTCTACATAATATATAAGTAAAAAAATTTTCAGATTATTACATCAAATTATAGATTTTTTTCCTTTTACATGCACTTTATTAATGAAAGAAAGAAGTTGAAAATTGTGGCTTTTAAGATAAAAGGTTTTATAAGAATAAAATATAATTATATTTTAAAAAAATGAAAAGATTTAAATGCTTCAATGATATGTATATAAATTGATTGAAAATACATTAAAGACAATATCAAACAATTAAAATCTCATTAAATTATATCCTAAGTACAATCAGTTTATAAATTACAAAAATAATATCCACAACTTTTAACACTTGAAATCTTTGACCCACTTGTTAGAATGAAATTGAGTCAATGTTAAAAGATACAAGAAATGAAGTCAATTTTTTTTTTTTAACTTTTAAAAATTAAAGTACATTCGGGGACCCCCCCTTAATTACACTCTAAGAGATGTTACGGATTTATCATTTAATTTTATTAGAGTATTTCCTACCTTTTAATATTAAACTTTTTCCGCTCTTCAATGGTATTTTCAACGATGTCAGCAAAAAACTGCAGAGGTGACTCTTCGAATGGTGATATCTTGAAGTAATTCAATATAGGGATTATGACTGGAAAAAGTATCATCACGATAAATATTGGTTTCGTTATCTCATTATCGAAAGCCTTTTTTGCATTTCTTTTTTAAAAATAAAAATCTGTCAATACGAATTATTAAGATAATAACTATTGTGTATTAAATTGTTTATTATTTTTGTTAAATCATTATTTATTTTGGCATTATTTTGTGAATTTGAATACATACCATAATATCAGTGGCGTCGCGAGGGGGGGGAAGGCGCAGGGGCTCAAGCCCCCTAAAAAATTTGATTAGCCCCCCGAAGCAAAATTTTTTTAAAAAAATTGCTCCTTATAATCCCTTGAACTAAAAAAAATTTTTTTTAATTGCCCCCTGAACGATTTCTCTTATAATTCTATTGAGTAATATATAGATTTGATTTTATTATTTAAAAATTAATAAGACTTAAATTTTTAATGAATACTATTTTAATTATTAGATTAGATTAATATATATAAATTATATTTTCACTATGTCAGCTTGCAATCAAATTCTGTGTTAAAAATATATCAATATCACTCACTAAATATTAATTAAGCATTAACCGTTGAAGCTTAATTGACTTTTATTATTTAAATTATTATATAACCCTAATTAAATAAATATAATCATTTATTAAATGAAATTAACAAATTTAATATTGTAATTAGCCGAAAAATAACTAATCAACTATATTATTGATTGAATTTTATTGTCATGTCTCTTCCTAAAATTATTTTCCAGGTCCAAATCCAAATAAGTATAAGAGATTTATTTATAAAAAGTAAGTATATATAAGTTTATAATCCTCTATAATATATAAATGCCACTTTTAAAGACGTATTTGACAGCTATATAATATATTACAGTTAATATTTTTTAAATTTTACTAATAAATGCTTTTGATAATAAATACGAGTAACAATTTGCATTCAATTATTTAACGCCATCTATCTATTTAAAATATAATTAAAATTATGTTTTACTATTCATCCCACAATGGATGTAATAATTTTTTAAATTTAAAATCAGCCACAACCCACCCTTAAAGTAATTAACTTACGCAGCAGTTCTTGGGCATAGGCTCTTTATCTCCGCCCCGCTCTTTCTCTTGGAGTCTATGGACGCCTAAGTGCATATAAGTACGTGCGGCTTGCCCACAAACGTGTAGAGGGCTCCTCACATTTTTTACTTTCGCGTTTTTCCAATTAGATGGCAGTGAGGAATACCTAGCGTAGCTCTGTTGTTTACTCAACAGCTATAGGGCATATGCGCTATATTTTACGTATCACGTATTCTTCTCTTTTTTTACGTGTTTAGGAAAGCTATTTTTTTCTTCTTTGAAAAACAGTTTTGAGTTAAATTTTTAACACGAATATATTTTTGATATTTTACAAATTCCTAATATTTTAAGATATAATATACCAACTAAAGGTGGTGCGAGTGCGACAATATATAAAATCTTAATTGTTTCATCATATCATTCTGGTCCTTATTTTATAGTTAAAAAATGTTTCATTTCTAATATGGCATCCTTGCTGTGTAAATAACTCCTTCAATATATTTGCATAATTTCTTCTAAAGATTTTTAGTGTTTTTGTTTTATCAATTTAGCTAACATAATAAATTCTGATATGAGTTAACATCGTGTGTGTCATGGCTATGACTGCCAATTAACCAGTATCTATTATTTTTGTAGTTATGTAAGTTAAGATTATTACTACAGCTGATTAGTAGTTTATATATCATTAATGGAAGATAATCTTTTAGAAATTTAATATCTCACAATAATTTTCTCGATTACTTATCTAGCTTCCATCATGTCATCTAAAAGGTAACTCTAACCACCATATAGTTTTATGATTTGGATTGGTCGTTTATACTCTCTTCTTCAAGAATTGTTGATTTGATTTAGGCCTATAAATTTTTCCTCATTAGTCCATTCTATAAAACATTGTCTAAAATGGTAACAGAGAGTTATATTAGTTTCATGACCTTTTTTTCAATGTAGCCTGCTAAGAATTATATAGCCTTATGTGGTTTTTCAATTATCAATTGAAGCATATATATATATGAATTAATTAACCTTTTTATCACTTGCAATTCTTTAGATGCAAAATTATTTTATATCAGCAATCGAAAATATTTTATACTGTAATAAATAGATTTTGTATTAAAAAATATTATTTTTAGAAATGTCTTGTTTTGTTTTATTTTGATTATTTATATTTTTAGATTATTTTGTATGCAAAATATAATAATTCAGAATAATTGTTTAAAATTAGCAAAAAAAGGGGGGCGAAGCCCCACTAAATTTTTTTTTAGTTGAGCCCCCTCAGATTGTAAAGGCTAGCGATGCCCCTGCATAATATGTGATTTTAAGATAAAATAAATTTGATTTCTGACTAAAATAATACAAATATCAATTAAAGATACTATACAAATATCTAGCTAAAATATTACGAATATTATTAGTAACAAAATCAATCGGTCAAGAATAACAGGAGAGGCCTTGTAGTTAACTAGTGTTGTTAAACGACTTGATTTGAGCTAATTTTTAAAATTGGCTAACTATATTTTAACCAGATAAATATTGCCAAACCTTTATGCCATCTATGATCGAAATTTTCAGGCTTGCTTAATAATTTTGCGGACAAAATATTAAGTTAACCGTTTTTAAAAATCGGTTCAAACGTTTAACAACACTAGTACACTAATGTTAACTATATGAAGGTTTCATTGTATTTCAATCTAAACCCTATCTTCTTCTTGAAACTTTTGCATTGCTTTAACTTTTAATAAAACTATCTATTAAACAACATATGCATGAAAAATAAAAATTATAGCTAACGGAAAGAAAATAGAAAGCGTTACTCGTTATAAAAAATAAAAAATTTATATAAATTTTCTTTTTATTTATTTTTCCCATAGATAATAAAAATAAAATAACACAAAAGAAATATATTATAAGATAAGATATTCATGTAATCATTTTTTTTTAATTTTTAACAATTAATTTTCAAAATTTTGATCAGATAAGCAAGAGCGTTTATTCCTCAACGCAGATTTCGATGTGCTAAACACACTCTCAACTGGCGCAGAGGTTAGAGGGGTTGTATTATATTTAATAAATAAAAAAATTTTCATTGAGGGAATTTGTTAAAAATACTTAAAGAATGAACTGTATTTAAGAAAAAATTATTAGATCATCTTCACAAGAATCTTCCTGATCCTCATCAGATTTTTTAAAGATATTTATCATAATTTTACCTGAATTCATATTTTTACCTTCATATGTCTTTTTTGAGCTGCTGGACATCAAGTTTGAATATTGAATTAGGGTACAATCTACACTTACAAAGTGTAAACTTAGTGCCCTTAATTTTCTTTATTGGTGTAAAAAAATGTTTTATACTGAGGTTGGGGCAAAGTTAAATCATATCTGAGAAATAAATACTATTGACATATATAACTTATAAAATAAATTATAATTTTAGAGAATATTAGAGCAGATTTGAGGTTTCAAATTTGAACAGATTCTCAATGATTTAGTTAACATTAAATATCTATTCTAGTGCACTTGTAGGGGTCGAATGTAAGCTTATCATTAAACCATTGTGGGCTCTACATTGTTTTTACCTTGAATTTTGATTTATTGATCCTAGCTTTCCTTTTCTTCGTTTACTCCTGAAAATAGCCATCTCTAGGTGCAATTTTTTAAGCATTAACTTTCTCTAGGGTGACATGTTCCTATTTTAAAATATTTTTTTTTGTAAAAAATTCTATTATTTTTTTCTTATAATATATATTGTTAGTCAAGTGAGACCAAACGTGGGACCATCGGTTTACTCCGGTCCGGTCTCGTCTATAAAATGTTTTTTTTATTAAGCTATAAAAGTTTTATTCTGCATTAAATTTATTAAAAATGAAATGTGTTAAATTACCAATTTTAATTATATCATCAAATCATTTTTATTATATAAAAAATTTTGATTTCACCTCACTTATTAAATTCCCAACTTAAAAATGAATTTAAATTCAGTAAAATTTTGAGAGTTGGTTCACAGCCCTGTTGTGGCCTAGTGGGTTTATGATGTATGCTTGGAGCAGAAGGTCCCAGGTTCAATCCTGGTAAGGAACATAAAAAATTTCAGTTTTTCTTTGATGACAGAAGTGTAAGGACATATGCTGGGATGAATTTCTGAGCTGGGAAATGCCACCCTAGTCACCGACAGGCTTGGACAGCCGGGTGCTAGGATACGTCCAACAAAAAAATATGGCCAGCTGACGTCGTGGGCCATTCAAGGATGATGGATGGAACGGATAGGAATACTCTGGTGAAATATCTGTCGATAGAATACTCCGGTGGGATATCTCTCGATATTTACTTCGGTGTGAGATTAAGACGCAATGATGGCGATACTCCAGTGGAGGATCCAAATGGAATAGATAAGGAACTCAGGTGGGGGATATCATAGATAAAAAGAGACACAGATAGCATGAATAATAAAGGGGACAGAGTATTGAAAGAGCTTACCATCAGAAAAAGGTGTAAGCTTAAGTGAAAAAAAAATTACGAGTTTCTATTCCTTTAATTAATAATTTGAATTTAAACCAATACCAATACAAGAAATAGAAAATATTATTTGAACCAATATTTTAGATCCAATACCAATAATATTTCTTTAATCTTGGGTTTTTGATATTAGTTCCTAGCCCTAATCATAACTATATGTAGGTTTATTTGATGAATTTTTTATTTATATATTTAAAATTTTGAACTATCAATTTGATATATATGCTAGAGATCTGAAAATGTAGACCCGGCACGTACCTGGGCGGGACCTTTTTTTAAAAAAAATTTTGGTTCGGGTTGAGTCGGGCCTAATATTTTTTAAGAGAATTTGGGCCGGGTCGGGCCTTGGTAATTTTTTTATATATATCTAAATTTATCGATATGTTGAATTATGTAAAAAAAAATATTTGATTTAATTTATAGAAACTAGAACCCATATAACATATATCTTTTATTTTGAGTAATTATGCCCGGGCCGGTTGGGTAAATTTTATAAAAAATAGTTCCGGCTGGCAAAACTTTTTAAAAATATATCGAGTTCGGGCTGGGCAAAACTTTTTAAAAAAAAATTCGGTAGGCCCGATGCAGATCACAAATATATGCATAATTTACTTATGCTTGAAGAAGACATATTTTACATGTTTTCCCAGAATTGTCCTTTCTTAAAAATTTACATAATACTTTAACATCTTTCAAATTTGAATTTGATCTATTTATTTCATTTGCACTACTAATACTATTTTCTAAATCAATAGTTATTCTTTCACCCCCAGAAGAGGTTGGTAGTTAATAATATTATCATCTTATATGACTTCAATTTCCATTTCCATTTATAAAAATAAAAGTATAATATTACCTACTAAATTAAATTACTTGACGAATAAATGAAATGGAAGAATATATAAAAAGTAAACGATGAATGAGATATTATAAAGTGTTAGGTAAATAATCATGTTTTATGTGTTCATGTACATGTACATTAACTAAACAATTCATAGTAAACTTAAATTTGTTTTAATCGGTTTTCGGTTTGACTGGAATGGGCCAATGCATCGTGATGTTAGACCGACCGTCTCATCGGACCCAATAGTTAGATGAAACCGAACTTATCCGGACCACTGCAAACACTAAAAAAAATCATTTATATAACAATATTCACATTAGATATAATAATAATAATATTAGTAATCACATTTGAAAGTTATTAATGTTATATTATATAAAAAAGGGGAAAGATATTTTTATGAGGAAGAACTAATAATCAAAGGGAATTGAATTAATAATGTCTTAACAATGGCTATTTCTATCTTTCGTTTTAACTAAAAGTTTTTTTTATATTATATAAGTTTTAATATATATAATTATTTTTAAATGATGTGATTATATGAAATTGAAAATAAAATAAATAAATAAGTCAAAAGCAAATAGAATTATATTTCTATAATAAACTAATAATGTATAAAAATGTAAATTAATCTCATAACTTGACTTTCATCTAATTGCACAAGCCTTTTATTTTGAAACAAAAAATAACAATATCTAGGTGATAATCCTTGAAGAATATATTGATATAATATTCTATACTTATAAAAAATATAGAATAGGACATTTAAAAAAAAATATATGAAAATTTTTTTCTGATCTGGCTTAAAATTCGACATTTTCTCGTCGCCTCGTGGGCTACTAAATGTCAACTTGGTTCTATGGCCACTCCGGCCCTTATATAGTAGAGTATATATATGTGTGATTTGATTAATAATTATTATAATTAGTGAATAATTTAAAACCTATTATATTTTTTTTATATAGTAGTGAAATATTTTTTAACAAGATATAAATTCGCCTTGAAATGAAAGTGACTGAATGTTATACATCATTCTATGATTCAATTTTTAAAATTTATAACAATAGCCAAGTTTCAAAATATTTAGCTCGACACTGATTGTTGAAAATTAAAATTATCATTAAATTATAAAAAGATAATAAAGTTAAAATCTTTCTATTTTACAGATAAAAATTTAAAAAAAATGAACCAATCTACATGCACAAACTAGATTGGGTCCCCTAAATATATTTTAATAGATATGAGATACCTGACAAAAGCATGATTATTTTCTTTGTGTGAATCCAGATCCAATCCAAAAGCGGTCGAAGCTATTACATCCATAGTGTAACACCCAAAAATGTCTTTGGTATCGACAACTACAATTTCTTGATCATCATTCTTATTATGGATAGGGTTAAGATCGCTATTTATCGAGTCTTTTAGGTGATCGATCATTCTAGAAGCGCATCTTGAAATCAGCGGAAACATGTTGTGCTTCATTTTGTGAGAAGTAAAAGTAGGTAATATGAGTCTCCTCTCCAGGCGCCATTCTTCATCTCTCGTCATAAACACTGATTTATCTAAATATTTATTAGGGATTGGAATAATTCTCCGATTAGAAAAATTGGAAAAGCTTTTAACCAATATTTCTTTGAGGTAATTAGGATTGCTTATCACCAAAACCAACGTTTGGCCTTGTGCCACGGCATAAAATTGTCCATATTTACGGTTCCAGTCTATTTGACATTTTAAGCCCTTAAAATATATCCATAAGATGGTACCAAAGAATGGTAAAGAAAAGGGATGGTTATAACCGCAGCGGAATAATTTTATCACTGGAATTAAGCCGTAGATAATTAACGATACCGAAATGAGGCTGTAAATAAGTGTTAGATGATTAATGGTTAAAGAATCGAGGATGTCAAACATTACTATATTCTTTGATTTTTGTGTTTTAAAAATATTATTTTTTATAATATTTATAATCAATTTTTTCTTCTTTTAAATATATATATTTTTTTAAAATAGATATATAGCATCAAAATTTTATTGTAATATTTTTAATATTGAATTTGGAAATAAAATTTTACTTAAATCGTTATCTAAACATTCATTTTTTTTTCTGAAATATTATATTTCTGTTATAAATTAATTTACACTATTTCACTTAATTGGTAAAGAAATGTCATTATATTTTTATAATGATTTTCAAATTGGTCTTAATGCTTCCCCTCAGGCCAAGATATTTTATTTTTTTATAAATAAAGCAACTATAACTATGCCATATTAATTTCTACGCATAAAAAGAAGGCTTATTAGTTAATTATGTTTACATTTAATTTTGATAATTTACCGATATAAAATTTAAAGGTCAATACTTATTCGTCCTTGGAAAAAAATGCAATATTTTTTTATAGAAAATTTACAAACTGCACTATTAAATAAAATATCCAATCCGCTTTGTAATATACTTATATTTTATATTTATCAAACACCTGTAGAGGTAGCATTTGCACGGCCCGGCCCGGATTAAAAAAATTAATTTTTTTTGGCCAAGTCCGGGTTTTATATTTTCAGGCCAGGCGCGAATTTTTTATTTATTTTTTAGTTTTTCATTTTTTTAAGAATATTTTGGCACATTCTCAACATTTTATAATTAATCATAATAAATTTTAACTATAAAATATTTTATAAAGTTTAAAGCTCCATTTCTATCCATTCTTTCATTTTTTATATATATGCAATTTTTAATTATATTGAAATATTTGTATAAATTTGCTTACGAAATAGTTCAATCGAATTTTTTTATTTTATAGTTTTTGTAATATCTAATATATATAATTTCCATAATCAAAACATGATCGTTTTCGTATCTTCCTAATGTATTTAAAATTTAAGGAGTCTATAAAGTGTAATGATATATTTTTACTCTCTACGAGAATCGAACACAAGCCTCCCGTTTCAAAGTCGTAAGTTTTAAGCATGCACCAACTTGAATATAATTAAATTTAAAATATTAATTATATATATATTAATTAATAGCTGATATTTTTAAAATTCTGCGGTTTATTACCATACTAGCTGACGGGGTTGAAGGGTAATTATATAGTTTGTGTGTATAGTACTAAATATACTTTATTAATAAATTTTATATAAATATTAAAATTTAGGAGAGAAAGAGGTAAAATTGTTGCAATGTATACTGTGAGCATGTATTAGAAATATTTTAAATTTGTGATGGAAATCATATTGGATAAAATTTAAAAAAGAGATGCTTTAAGATTTTTGAATTTTAAATATGGGTTATGCATTGGCCTGAAAATTTTTTTTTGCAGACATAGCCAGGCCTGATCAAAAAACCAAGTCCTATGTAACTTTCATAAAATTTTGCCATTTATTTTTATTATAATTTAATAAAAATGTCTTGATTTGTGATAGAAATCATATTGTGTAAAATATAAAATAGAAATGCTCGAAAATTTTTTATTTTAAATATGGGCTAGACATTGGCCTAAAATTTTTTTTTTGCAGAAATCGCCAGGCCTGATTAAAAAACTAAGCCCATGCAACTTTCATATTCTGATTTTATCTTTAAATGAATTATGACTTTTATATATTTTATTTCAGTTCTAAACTAACAAAATTATAATGGTCTTTGGCGGGCTTGAGAAAATTTTCCTATAGGGTTTTCAGAGATTTACCTATCTCCAGGCTTGGGAAAAAATTACAAAATTATTATGGGTTGGCCAGGTTTAAGGATAAAAATTTCAGGCCAATGTCTAGTCCATATTTAAAATTAAGAAATTTTCAAGCATATCTATTTTAAATTTTACCCAATGATTTCTATCACAAACTTAAATTTTATTCTAATTATAAAATCAAATTTAAGATATTTTTATTAAATTACAATAGAAATAAATGGAATATAAAAATTAAATTTAAGACATTGTTATTAAATTACAATAGAAATAAATGGCAAAATTTTATGAAAGTTGCATGTGATTTCGTTTTTTGATCAGGCCTGGCTATGTCTGCAAAAAAAAAATTTTTGGCCAATGTCTACCCCATATTTCAAATTAAAAAATTTCCAAACATCTCTATTTTCAATTTTATTAAAAATGATTTCTATCACAAATTTCAATTTTATTCTAAATATAAAGTTAAGACATTATTATTAAATTACAATAGAAATAAATGGCAAAATTTTGGGAAAGTTGCATGGGACGTAGTTTTTTAAATCAGGTCTAGCTGTAAAACAAAATTTTGAGGCCAATGTCTAGCTAATATTTAAAATTCAAAAATTTTGAAGAATCTCTATTTTTTTACCCAATATGATTCCTATCACAAATTTAAATTTTGATATTTCTAATACCCTTAATGCTCACGGGTTACATTGCAACAATTTCACCTCTTTTTCTCCTAAATTTTAATATAAAATATATTTAGTACCATATACACAAATAATTACCCCTCAACCCCGTCATTCTTGACAGGTTATTAGCTATCTTTTATAATAAGAGACGGATATTTATTATTATTATTAAAATAACAACCTTTATAATCATTCCGATAATCAACTTACCATGATGGTGACGATGAACGCAATATCAAAGAACCAAAACTGGCTTCATAATAAAATTAAAACTTTATTTTTAAAATGATGGGATTAGATATAAGTTAAATGACCATGTATCAAGGTTATCCAATGCTTTATTTAATCCCCAGGCAGAGATGCTCCGTAATCTTTACATCGAAATCACGGTAATTAACTATTTAGAAACTATATTTTTTATATGGTACAAAGAATAATTGCATCACTTCCCTAGATGCTTTGTATTTTTATTTAAAAAAAATAATATATGTATTATATATATTTTTTATTGCTTTCATAATATAAAAATATCATAATAACATTATATACATTTATATAACATTTGTAGACAACACAAAATTTATATATGGGAAAGAAAAAACCCAAATTAAATAATATAAAGGTTTAATATGGTGTAAAATGATAAGAATAAGGAAGGAAGAGTAAGTCTAACAAAAATTTGTGAAGAGAAGACTGCCATTGAAACTTTGATAATCAGCTATAAAGAGAGCTATGGCTAGTCTCTGTCTGAGGATGAAGTCTTCTCGAGGATCGTCAGTATGCTTGTGGATGTGAGATCGTAAATCCTTGAAGAAGAATAATGCAAGCTTACCTAAGGAAGTTAAGGTTGCGGCTATTATGGAATAAAGATGTGATATTCTGATATTTCCGAATATTTAAAACTTTAAGCTGTTCTTTTTGTTCGAGTAAGTTTGAAGTTTGGTTAGATAAGGCAAATGGATCTACAAGAATAGTTCTAAACCAGAAATTTGCCCGTTTCCATGGCATCAAAGTGATTTCGTCAAGCCGCTTTTTATCAAAAAAGTCCTGGTGGTTCAAGTATAGCGGGTGTTTGGGCTAATTTCAAAGCTCGCTGGATCAAGGAATTGCAATAGGTATGCCCGAGGATTCGATCTTTGCCCGATCTGCAATGTTAACTGTGTCCTCCTTTGTTGTCTTTGGGGATTCTGCAGTCAGAGCAGATGTGCTGAACAATTTTGAAGAATTCCTATTGCGTGGGTTAACTTATTGCTGGTTTGTTGGAGTTAAAATTTTTGAATGAATAACTTTCTAAAACTTCTCCAGATCCATTAAGTAAAAAAGTGAAGAGAGAACGGCCTGTTATGAGAATGTTTGGCATTGAATGTAGCATGCTACAAATTTTTCTTGGCCCAAGCCCCTCCTTTTGGTGGGTAAAAAAGCTGGAGCCCATGCTGTTTTATTGAATTTTAGATTCAAGATATTTTCTGTTAGATCTTTTATTCCATAAATTCTGAGAGGGATAGGAAATTTAAAAATAGTCGTTGATCGCAGAGCATAAAGGATGCGTGAAATGTTAAGGAATTTTTTTTAGGAGGAATAATAATTTATACGAGGTTAGCAAGTCAAGAAGTCACCAAGCTTTAAGAAAAATAACAAGAGTAGACTGGAGGAAGGCACTGATTGAAGTGAATACGCCTACTAGGGAACCTAGACGTGTTAGCTCCTCCTTGGAGGTGATTTTGAAATTGTGGGGATTTGGATCTGAGTAGTTTAATAATAAATTCTCTAAATAACAATTCTATAAATGCTATTTTTTTTGCTCATGGATAATGATGAGGCAAGTGTTATGAATGGACTTCTTTTAAGAGTCCAGGAAAGATATGCATTGACTTTTGTTGAATCTTTTATCAGTTTTCAGTTAGAATTAAGAAATGTTTCTATTTTTTATTATTATTTTACGGAATGCGAATAAATTTTGTAATTTAAATATCCCAATAAAAGAATGGTTAATTTTTCTGATCTAACATGAAATTTTTTTTTATAAGTTTATATCTTTTATCCAATTATAGATATTATAAAAAATATACTAGAAAACGCAGATATTATTAAAAACTACAAACGCTTTGCATCCCTTCTCCCCCTTTTTTAAAAAAATTCTCATGTTATGAACCAATTTATTTTACATTCTAATTACCCTGATTTGAAGAATACACAATTTTAAATTCCTATTTTTAAATTTCAAATTTTCTTAACTTATAAATTTTTTTTTCTTGTACAAAAAAATGATATTTTATTGACCCCCATATTATAAAGTATTTGGTTTTTAAAATTGTGACAATCATCAAAGATAAATAATTTTAATATGCTATTTTTTGTCTCTTGTGAATAATATTATTCTTGTACTAATGCCTAATTATATTTAAACATTTATCATATAACAGAAATTTTTTTCATAAATTAGAATATAGTAATGTAAATTTAAAAATATAAAAGCTTGCCATCGTGTGTTTCTAATATTAACTATAAAAATATACAATTTCGCGAAAATTTTACTATTTTTGTAATAGCCGCAGGATTTTATTAATTTTAATAATTGCTATTTAAAGAATATTTTTAGTGGTTGTATAAAGAAAGTTCACGGCTTAAAATAATTTTAAATAATTTTTAAAAATATTTGTGAGTACAAATAAGTCTAAATATAACAAAAAGGACTGCTAGTAAAATTGTGTAAACCAGAAAGTC